GGGAGCAGGCCAGCCTGGGGGCCACTGAGTCCCCACAGGCCACAGGTGTGATCCTGTGGTCCCCAGAGCGACTTGACCAAGGACATCACCACCTCGGTGCTGCTGGTGAACAACAAGGCGCACATGGTGACTCTGGACTACACTGTGCAGGTCCCCCCCACAGAGGCGGGGGCAGCTCCGGAGCTGAGGTGAGAGGCACTGCAGGGGTGGCTCCCGGCACAGGGGGGTTGCTGGTGCCATGCCCTGCTGTACCCCGCTTCACCATCGTTGCCTCTTTGCAGTAAGTTTCGGCTGTCTTACTACCCGCACCGGCTGGAGGCCTTCACCACCCTGCTGAAAGGCGCCTTCCAGGGGAAGTGCCAGCACAGTGTCCTGGGTGACTTCCAGCCCTACACGCCGGGGCAGGCCCACGTCCCCTGCTACTTCATCCATGTTGTGAAGAAGATGGCTTGAGGGGGCTGTGGAGATGGGGACTGTGGTGGCTGAGAGCTGCGAGTGGCTCTGGGGACAAGCAGGGGGCCGGGGACATCACTGAGAGCTGCCTGGGAGCCGCCTCCCCTTAATTAAGAGCACTCGTGAGAGCTATCAGAGCCCGTGGTCCGTGTGTCCATGTATCTGTGTATGGGCAGGGTACGGGGCGAGGGGCACAGCTGCAACTGCCTCAGGACTTCCAGGGAAGGAAGTGCACAGCCTGGGGGGAGCATGTGGTGGGTGTAGGACCCCCAAGCCCCAGCTGCAGGTGCCAGTTATGCCTGTGGTGTGGAGCTTGGGGGTCCCATTGAAACAGAGGCAAGGGTGGGCTGGCTACTGGGTGGTTGCACATCCCTACTGAGCCCAGTGCAACACTGCTCCCAAGGTTGTAGTGCAACCAGTTTTCTCCTTTGCACCCGCTAACCAGGTGCTGACCCCTTTTCTTGACACTCCTCAGCCCCATCCAGGGGTGCCCACTCCCCCCACCAGGGCTCCCAGGGTGGGGAGGCCCCACACACACCACCAGCGCTTTTGCTGTGGCTGCAGCTCCCTCCTTGCCTGCCCTGGGGAAGAGGTGGTGGCCAGATCCAGCAGCACATTGTGGTCAGGGTCAGCTCTGCCTGAACACGCTCAGGTGCCAGAGCCGAAGCAAACAGGGCTCAAGGCACGCGTCAGCTGGATCTTCGTGCATGAAACGCCTCCAGCTGCTGGAGAACCGCCCTTTGGGGAGGAGCTCAGTGGGGAGCTGGTCCTTGACAGCCACACTTGGCTCGGGAACATGACTGACAGCAGTCTCAGCTCAGGCAGCAGCGGGGCAAAGCCTGGCAGCAACAACCCCTTGGGCTGGGGCATGCGCAGGCCCCTGGCTTAATGCGGGGCTGCCCGTGAGCTGCCCCAGCAGCTGCAGGGGCCTGGCAGAGGCAACTGCCAGCCAGCTGCCACACTCAGCTCAAGTGTGGGTTTATTTGGCATCCCTGGCAAAGGCCGGGAAGCAGAGCACATGCAATTGTGCTGGCAGCTGCTGCGAGGCTGGGGAGGGAGGCGAGACAGGACTTCAGGAGGTCTGAGCCAGCTTGTGCTCAGCACAGGTTAGCACAGACAGGGTGGCTCTGGGCAGCTTCAGCCAAGAGTTGAGTATTTCCAAGGCTGGAGCCCTCCCTCTCCCTGTGACAAGTCTTTCCTAGTATCTGGTGGGAATTGCCCTTGCTTGCCACTTGACATTGTTCTGTCACCCAGTGCCTCCAGGAGGAACTGGGGCTCCCTCTGCAGAGGCAGCTCAGTTCCCAGCTAAGCAAACCCCCCTCCCTCAGCCTCTCCTCATGCACCATGGGCTCCAGCCATTCTGGCAACCTCTTTGCTGGACGAGGGCGGCTCCAGCCCTGTTCGCAGGTGTGCTCCCCCCTGCAGGAGCCTGGCAGCTCACAGGGACCATCCTGAGCTCACGGACACCATCAGCAAGCAAAGACCTGAGGCCAGGCAGTGAATATCTAGTGCTGAAAACCTGTATTTATTCAGAGAGACCATGTCGAGCCCAGGCCAGCTACAGTAGCAGTGCCCTGTGTCCTGCTGCCTTCTGGCCAGCACCCATCACTGCGAGCTGACACCCCAGCAAGCAGCTGCCTCCAGCCCCCCTCTTGCTGCCAAACCAGGTGCAGTTTGGGCCTTGATCCTCCACCAATGCTCTGTCATCCATACAGACACTCCTACATTGCCCACAACCATGAGACTCTGCTTCCTCCTCATGGGGAATTCACCCCAGTACGCTCCTGGCAGCCACACAGTGCTCCCCAAAATGCAAGGGACCATTACAGAACCTACCACCAGCTTGGCTGAGTAGAGCAGTGCTTACATCAGGCTTTGGCTCAAGAAACTGCAGAGCCACTTTTCCACCCAAGCTCAAAAGAAGCAGGCCTAGGAGACATCAGAGAAGAGCAGGTGGGTGCCTGTTCGTGTAGGTTCTCTCACACACCTTAACACACCGTCCCCATCATTCCTCCAGTCCCAGCTCTGCTGAGCATTAGCAGGCAGCAAACTTCTGCTGGATGAGTCTGTACCTGAGCAGCTCCTGCTCAGAGACTGATGGGTGCACCCTCGCAGCAGCCTGCAGGAAGTCTTCCATGGTCAGGATCAGAGCAGAGCTCTCTGTATCCAGCCCTGCATGAGAACGAGAACAGGAAAGGGCTGAGAGGCAAGCACAGGGGCGGCAGGCAAGATCAAACAGCCCCCTCTCCAGCCACTGGAGGCTGGAAAGAAAACCTGTGTCTCTCTCTTTCCCCCTGGGGCCAAGCACTGGAGATGATCACATCTGCAGAAACCGCCTGCCTGCCAGTAACCCAGAGCCTAGCATTCAGACGTGGTGCCAGAGCTGTCGAGGCTCTTCTCACAAAGCCCAGTTACCAGCAGTGGTAACTCTCCTCTCTGCCCCTGTGCTGGGCTGCCCCAACATGTGGGACAGGCAGAGGCCAGGCTCCTACCTTCCTCGATCCATTCCACCTTGCGTTTGACAGCGCACATCATGGCGTCCGAGCATAAGGCGTAGATGTCTGCTCCTGTCAGCTGAGCTGGGCATTTCTCCAGGATGGTGGTAAGATTCACAGAAGGATCCAGTTTAAACCTGCCAAGAGAGAAAAGTGCATGTGTAAAAGCCACAGAAAAAACAGACCAGGAGAGATGCAGCAGCCAGCGTGACTGGGCAGGAGGAATCAGAGGCCTCATGTTTAGCCACTTCTGGCCTGCGCTCTGCATGCTCAAAAAAAAAATCAAAAGGGTTGGTTTGTTTGTTTTTTCAATACAGCCACTTCTCTTTGAAACAACCCCACAGCAAGGTCCTCTCTCCTGCTAAGTAGGATCAAAGGCAACTTTGAGTTCTCACTCAGAGAAATTAAGTGTTCCACATGCCTGGGAACAGCCTACAGCCAGGGCTGGATAAGAACATGTTTAATTACAGACAATACAAACCACCATAACACCAAACCATCCCATCAGAGCCACACTGCAGACAGTGAGCCTCCTTCAGCACGAACAGCAGCACGGTGCTGGAGGGAATGACTGCCAAGCCACATGGTGTGAAAAGATGCTCACAGCCAGCCCACGCTCTCACTTCTCCTACTAGCTTATCGTCAAAGGCTGGATCACAGCTATCCATGACAGAAAGGCCCTGCAGAGGCAGATTCACAGCTGCTCACCCAGCTGTGGTGGGTGGTACCCCTGCAACTGAATTGCAGGGCTTGCTTTTCTCCCTCCAGAGGTGCCCTCAGGAGCTCACAGCAGCTGGGGAAGCAGTCAAAACCCTTTGCTCAGTGTTCCCACATAATCAGTGTTTGGAAGCTGAACAGTCTTCAGCATCACAGGAGGATAGGCAGTGAGACAAACAGAGCTGCCTTCACCCTTGGACCTGGAAACAGCAAGAGGTGTGCTAGGGGAACTCTTGCAGGAAGCAAATGAGAGATGCTGGTGCGCTGCAGTCTCATCACACTGTTAAGATCTCAAAAAGAACATCTGGGCACAGTAACTGGAGAACTCTACCAACCCCTCCACCTAGACAGCCAGCTGAGCTGCTCCCATCTTGCAGGAAAACCAGTCCCAGTTCTGCTTCTGGAAGTTGCCCATCCTCCTCCCCTACCTACTGGTTGTGGGTCAGTGACTGAGGTGCTCCCCAAGGCTCAGACACAAAGGCAAGCTGGAGCACATTATGCATCAACCCCAGGAAGGCTGCGACCCACTGGAGGGTGGTGGAAGGCTGCTGCGAGAGCACAAGGTCACTCACTTCCTGGTGACGGCACTCAGCACCTGCAGCTGTGACTCCCGGTCTTCCTTTATGCCCACATAGACCAGCTTGTCAAACCTGTCAGCAGAGGGAAGAGACAGCTGAGATTAGGACAAGACAAATCTGCCACTGGTGCTCAGCCCTGTGCACCAGAAACTGAAAGGCAGCCCTGGGACAGCTCCTTTTGTTGCCAAGTTCATGGATGACAAAAAGCTTGGGGGCGGGGAGGGGGGAAGTAGTCAATATGCTGGAGGGCAGGGCTGCTCTTCAGAGGGACAAGGACAAGCTGGAGAAACAGGCTGACAGGAACCACATGAGGTCCAACAACAGCAGACACAAAAGTCCTGTCCAGGACAGGCAAGCCGCAGGGATGAGGACAGGCTGGGGGGCAGCTCTGCAGAACAGTCCCTGGGGGACCAATTCCTCCTGCCAGTTTGGTGCCACGGCAGGGCCCCTATTGCGCTGCTGTGCTGCTGGGGCAATAACCAGAGTGGTGGGGGATAACAAGCAGCAGTGCTTTGTGCTGCTGCTACAGCCATAGGCACTGGCTTCCTTTTGGCTTCCTATTTCCCCCACAAGCCAGGGTCGGGGGCTTTAGGAACAGTCTCTGAGGAGGGAACCTGTTGGGGACACAGTCCAGCTCATCACTGCCTGAGGAGCTCTGGGGAACTACCCTAGAGTGAGGCAGAGTACGATACAACATACCTGCCTGGCCGGAGCAGAGCTGGGTCTAGGAGGTCAGGCCTGTTTGTAGCTCCAATGACAAACACCTCTCTGGTGGAATGGAGGCCATCAAGCTCAGCCAGGAGCTGAGAGACAACTCTGCAGGGAGCAAGACAGGACACTCACAACTAGGCCTTGGGAAGTCACCCACTGTCACCCTCAGCCACCAAACAAAAAGAGGCATAAGCAAGGCCACAGCCAGGTCCACGTCTTGTACTACAGCTCATATTTCTCTTCCCTGAAGAGCCCTGACAGCCATCCAGACTTCTCCATTTGAGCACAGCTAATAAGCCTGTGGGCTCATTGCAAAGTGAGCGCAAGCCCCTGGTACGAAGACAGTCCTTCAGGCCTGTGCTTGGCTCTGAACCCTTCCAGGATGACCACACATGCTCATACTTGCTATCAGACACTGGCAACACAGACCAAACATAGGCAGGCACGCATGGCTATGGCTGAGGTTCTCCATGCGGGTGTGCTAGCTGGTCCTAACTCTCTCCGCTATTTGGTACTGCCCAGCAAGTTACGCTACAAGACTGCCCTTCAGTCCATGCCAGTGACACCCTGGCAGGCCAGTGATGCTGCCAACCAGTCCTCAGGGCAGTGAACGGTACACATTGCAGATC